GCGGGGCCCGGCGCAGGCGCTGCCGGCGGGGGCGGGCGGTCTCGGGGCTCCGCCCGGGCGGGGCGGGCCGGGCTCGGGGCGCAGGCGCTGCCGTAGCGGTCCCTGGGCCGCCCGTCCCGGCCGGGTCGCTGTCGGTGCGGGGGGCGGCGGTAGCGGCGAGGGGGCTCCGGTGGCCCCGGTCCCGAGCCCCCCACCCGCCTGCCCGCGGCCGCCTCGCCGGGACCCCGCTCGCCTGCAGCTCCTGCCGCCCCTCCCGGGGGCTCCGGGTAAGCCGCTCCAGCCTTGTTCCCATGGGCGCCCCCCGCCCAGCGCTCCGCATCCCCTCCCCGCCCTCCTCCTTCCCTCCGGCCCCGCGGGCCCCTTTGCCGCCCGGTCCGCCCGGAGCCCTGGGCCCCGGTGGGGCTGGGGGTGGCCGTACTGCGGGCCGGGGTCCGTCCGGCTGCGGGCCCGGGGGTGGTGAGAGTCCCCTGGGTCCCCTGCTGCTCCTCTGTTGGAGGCTCGGGCCCCCTTTGTCCGCTCCCGGGGATGCTGCCGAGCTCCTCCGCTGGGCCACCACCCCAGTGCCACGCCGGTGTCACCTCCCCGGACGAGCCCCGGGGCGAGGGCGTCCAGCCCCGCTCCGTCCCGCGGTGGTCACAGGGCTCTGAGCGCCCATCCCCGTGGAAAGGGCCTCAAGCACCAACAGGTGCTTACTTTCTCTTTTCTTCCCCTTCTTTTTTTTTTAAAATTTTTATTTTTTTTGTATTTTTTGTTTTGTTTCCCTGCACCCCCTTCTGTTAGGTAATTTTCCTGGTTTGGTGTCTAGGAAGTGAAGACTATCCATGGCTTTTACACCTCGTGCTCACAAACACAGAGTGTTTAACCCTGTAACCCCCCCAGTCTCCGGGTGTGCAATCCCGCATTGCTGGGAGTGTAACCTCTCACACATCCAGGGGTACTCACAGAGTGTCACCCCCTCCTCGTGTGTGTCCCCTCTGAGCTGCTCTTCCATAAAGCCCTGATTCCATCTTACATAAAGACATAATTCCATGTCAGAAGTCACCCAGCTGGAGATCCTCACCAGCTCCTGTCCCACGAGGAAGCTGTAAAGGCAGCACACAGGTAGCTGCTGCCTGGGAAGGAGTTGGTTTGCAGGGCCCCGTGGTGATGCCTTGTAAAGGTCTGTAAAAAGTGAACAGAAAGGGTTATTCGAGTGTGTTGGCAGCACCCAGGGTTATAAAAATGGGAAGTGTCTCACCTATTTTGTCTGCAATTTCTAGTAATAGTTGCAAAACTCTTGTTACCTTACTGTGAGTTCAGTGGTGCCCAGGAGAACCAGGGTAAGGCATAGTTGTATATATGAAATCTTTGGGTTTTTGATGTGTATCAGGAAATGGAGCTGGGGTGTTAAATATACTAAAACTGCTATTGGTTGGGGGTGCCACACTTTAATATTTATATACTGTATTCTCAGAAATAGGATATCAAAATACATATATCTTTCTTAGAAATAAGTATGTCAGATACTTACACTAGGGTTTGGGTTTTTTGGCTATTTTTTAAACTACAACTTGCTCGAAGGCAGTGATCCTCAGGATTTGGCCAAATTTCTTTGAGAAAACATCTAGTAAAAGTGGTTAAGGACAACTAAATGCCCTTTTTGCTCATTCCTCAGTTGCTCTCTTATTGGGATGACTTTTGGGATTTAGCTAAATTTCACAACAGAACAGCCAGTAGGCAACTGCTGGAATTATTTTTGCAGAGTTTATGGGAAGAATAACTTCTGGATTAGATGTTTCAGTGTGATATTCCTGACTTTTGAACATTCATTAAAGATAGAATAAAGATAGGTGGAAGCAATAAACATTTGCAGTACTGGCTGAAATTGTGGTTTTTGAGGCACAAAGTTTCTTAAGTTTCCTTCCCTCTAATTTCAGATCAAAAATGTTCAAAACAGGAAGTTTGACTTGTACCTTTTATTTTGTAAGACTTTTCCTTGCTTAGCTCAGACTGGTGATATTTGTTGTTAAAATCTGAGCTCTCTGATTAAGCATCACTTAATGGGTTTGGGCTCTTGTTTTAAGATTATTTGTCATTTATAATGTTTGATGTTCCTCCCTTCTCCTTTTCTGGCAGCCATGGCCATGACAGGCCCCACGCCGTGCTCGTCCATGAGTAACCACACCAAGGAGAGAGTCACGATGACAAAGGTGACATTGGAAAACTTCTACAGCAACCTCATTGCCCAGCACGAGGAGCGAGAGATGAGGTAAAAATCCTTCTTGTTTCCCTTCCATACTGGATAAGAGCCAACATTTAGATTGAAGGAATTTCGGTTTTTTGAGCCAAAGCAAAAATAATAAAATCACAGATTGCTTTGTGTTGGAAAGGATCTTAAAGCTCATCCAGT